AGCCTGGATAACCTTGAAAGTCTCAAGGAAACTAAATCTATTTTATAACGTAGTTTTATAATAAAGTAGTGTTTAAAAAAGTAATAATAAACCCAACAATAATTGTTTTGATATATTTAAAATCAATATTCCCTTTTTATTCGTCATAAAGCTTTTAACTTTCGCACACATCTCACGTTAAGGCATTCGTGAAGGTTCATTTAATAGGCAACTCTTCATCATAAAGCTTCAGTGTAATGGATTGCAGTGGCTATGCTTTCATGAATCCATGAACTAGCCATTGTGGTCAGGCACAAAAAGTAACTGAGGTGCAAAGATAAGGAGATGAGTGTGAGAATGGTTGGAAGTTGAATGAGCAATGATTATTAAATTCATTTGGGCATGTTGAAAGGTATGCGGATAGAGGTTAATGCACTTTTATACGTAACATCATTTTAACATAGCGAAATTTGTTTAACCATTTTCTTGCATTGCTTCGTCTAATAGAAGTGGACTATTTAATTTGGAGCTTTCGTGACTGCAGGAATTACTCTTTGGTTCTTTCGGTAAAGTCACTTTAACGAAAGAACCAAAGAGTACGTGGACTATTGCCTATTTTAATAAAACTTTGTTCTAGATAATGGTCAATACTTCGAGGGACGTGTTTATTTCATAGACGACATTCTTTGCCACATTTAAACCCCATAAAACACATTTAGCCAATAATCATAACAAAAACATATTTCCTACTTGAATTAAACAGTTGGCATTTTAAAGTTATTGTTTTCCGCATTAATGCTCTTATGTTTAAAGTTGTCTTGCAACATGGACGTGTTATATAGAACATTTACACATTAAAACGCTTTGTTGTACAATTTAGTGAGCTTAGATTAATGCAAATAATTTTGGAAATTTAATCTTCAAACATTATTTTCTGTTTGAGTGGATACTTTGATCAGAATTCCTCGTCTCCAATTCAGAACACAGTGGCTACTTTACTTTTTTGTTTTACAAAGATTGATATATATATACTGTATATATACATACTGTTTACATACAAACATATTGTATGTAAATATTTACCAGATAAATACAAAATATATTAACACACCATTCTATATATTCATTATGTATACACACATGATAGCAAGAAATGGTATTCTGTTCTAGTTTGAATAATTAACATGAAAGTTTTTTTAAAAATTAAACATTAAAAAAACAACAGTCTCCAAAATGGAATTCAGCAGCCTGCAGCATTGGAGATATTGGTTCATTTCACTATCATAAAAGTTTATGAGCATGCCTTGTCAAGCCAGACTGCATAATTTACCAGACCGTGTCATGGGGCCCCTAAAAGTTACAGCAAAACACAACAGTAAAACATCATGCTAATAGCATTTGCAGTGACGTTTATTCAACATACACGTAAAAAATGTACAGGTTTTAACTTTTATCTGTCGTTTCGCCAAAGCACCTTCAAGAAAGGCCCGAGCATTGATGACACAAATGTGTTTTTCCCTCCTACGTCTCATCAGTTTGCTAAACGCAACTACAAGCTGCATGAATAGTGCAATGTAAATGACTCCATAAGTCAGTGACCTTGTACCAGTGAGATGGATGAGACCAAAGTAAATTTTGTAAAGGAGATCTTGGGATATAAATACGTGAAAACATCGGCAGAAATCGTAGATTGCAATTGACCAAAAAAAAGTACAAATGAAATATATACATAATAATCATAAAGTATTGTCAGTATTGTATTATGATTGACAATCAGTTTGCATCAGGGTCAAATGAAATCTACTTGCCCTTTCTATTTGAAGAAGCTTTGTGTGCTTATACTTTCCTGCAGCAGAATGCCATTGTCCCTTTCCTAAATTATGATTGGCTTTCTGGATGGATGTGAAATGACACTGCACATCCCCCGTTGGAAAATTTGTAACAAATTTAGTTTAATGAGTCATCATCATCATCAGCTGTCATCAGTCCACTGCTGGATGACGGCTTCCCAAGCCGTCATCATCTCACGATGCATACAAATCCTCTAGCACCTGCACACGAGCTGATTTCATTGCTCACAAACCTGCGTAGCACGTGTTCTCGGGCTTGTGCTCTCTTTTTTTTTAACGAACATCGGCCACAATTCCTTCGAGTGATGTGTCGTGCCCAAGCCCACTTACTTTTACAAAGTCAATATGATGTCTTCAACTTGCATATGGTCTCTAATCCATATGTCCATTCAACTGTCTCTATTAGTACAATTCCAAACATGATTCATATGCACATTTTGTAGATGTATTCCATTTCCTTATCGATGTCCATGTATCTGATCCGTATGTCATAGCAAGTAATGCACACTGATTAAACAGTTTCTTTCATAGGTACAGTGGTTCATAAAACACTCATTAATATCACACAATCGAATTTTAGCCATACTCAGGATTGGAATGCATAACACACAGTACCACTGTCCCCACCGCCCCTACACATCATCATCACCACCAGGATCCATGGGTAGATAAACCGTCGGTGTCCACTACACATTTTTTCAGTTGTTTCCACTTTCCTCTGTCTCGTGCCATTATGCTCAAGTAGTGCCACATCTCCATTGCACAATCTCTAATGTCGCCAAGCCATTCTCTGTTAGGTCTCCCTCTTTTTCTGGATCTTACCATTTTTCCAAACAACACACTTAAAAATATCTTGTTGTTGTCCATTCTACATGTGTCCAAATAGTGTCAGTTTCCGTCTCACCACTGCCTTCATCAAGTCTTCTTCTATGTGCACTCATTGTATTACTTCTGTGTTGGTCACTCTTAGCATCTAGTTCAGATGCAGTATCCTTCTGTAGCAATATATAGTTTTTCTATCATTAAATGTTTTATGTTGTGTAGTATACACCATTGCCATCTCTTCCATTGCATTGCAGACTTCACAAACCCCACTTGTACGTGATTGCATTACAGTAACAGTGTCTGATGAGAACTGCACGTGATATTTGGTTGTAACTAAAGGTGGGAACAAGTTGCTTTATTTAGGCGCTGACGATTTAGGTGCTGATGTCCCCTCCCCCGCCTACCCTTCACAGAGGATGTGATTGTCATCAAGTGTCACATCAGCTCAGAACAATGCAGCCTTGAGCCCCACACACGATCCTGCCAACCACTTGTCCAAGCCTCCTGTGAAGGTGATGTTAATTATTTTTTTGTAACGCCGGAACATGCACAAATTCTACTCCTAACACATTCCTGCGGAGGGAGCTGGTAGGAACATTGGGTTGCTCGGTCAATGGCCAGGGTCAACGGTGGCGTGGTGTATTCCGCAAATATGGCCGACTGTGAGGGCGGGCACAAGCCGGCGTGAGTAGGTTAAACGTTGAGTTTTATAAGGGCACCACGGGGTGGCCAGCCCCTCCCCACCCAGCCCCAACCTCCCAGCCCCTCCCCACCCAGCCCCACCCCTCCCACCCTCCACCCAGCCCCTCCCCACCCGGCCCCTCCACACCCAGACCCTCCCCACCCTCTCTTCTGCACCCAGCCCCACCCCTCCCATTTTTGGATGCACTACGGGCGGACGGACAGACACAATAATCCCCTGTGGGCTGGTGTAACCAGGAGGTTCCTACCAGTACATGATATTCCCAGAGAACAAACCAATGTGACTACCCTCACTGCCATAATAGAATTTTCATTTCTGGGAATCAAACCACCAGGCATTTAAGCATGGCACCAAAACATCCACCCCCTCCCGAACAAAAAGTTTAGCATGTTAACATGATTTTACCCATCGTACCGCTATGCTTAGAGAAGGCTGTAGGAACAAATCTCGAGGGTGCAACACATTTCATTGTATTGGTTCGGTTGTAGCAATACTTTGAAAATTGAAAGTGAAGTTTACGTGATGTATGACAGGCTTCCTTACACTAATATTTGGAGTTATTTAACCATAATTCACCACAATGGTCAGAGAGAGGTTCGTGAAGAGTGTTAGCCAGACCAGTTCAGATGTCGCTCGCCACCGATGTTAACCATGACTGAGAATGAAACTCAGAATACTACGTTCATAGCACAGTGGATCATTCACTGGGTCCCTGTGAAGATTAAAATGGAGTATGATAATTGTATTCTTAGTTCTATCGGTAAAGTCACGTAGAAGGGAAATAATAAAATAATACAAATGAAACAATAAAATTCTCACGACGTTTCGGGCGCAACACAAGCGTCCGTCATCAGGTAGGAAAGCATGGTCTGCTGCTGAGGCAGACTGTTTTAAAAGGCTTGAAATGGGTGTAGCCCAAGGGTCATAAAGAAGTGGGCGGGGCTAGTGATGTTAATGTGAGAAATTAGCATGTCAATGTAAGATAGGAGGAGAGCGGCCTCCTCGACGAGGGCATGGAAGTGGCTATGTTAATGGGAGGGATTAGCATGATGTTAATATGAGAAAATAGAATGTAACTGTACGCTAGGAGAGCGGCCTCCTCGACGAATGAGTGCAACCTAACGGGTGCTTGTGTTGCGCCCGAAACGTCGTGAGAATTTTATTTTTTAATTTTCTTCTTCGTTATTTTGGTAAAGTCACGTAGAAGGGAAATAATAAAATAAAATTAATGTTTTGTGTTTCTTATTTTATTATTTCCCTTCTACGTGACTTTACCAAAAGAACCAAGAATATGAATCCCTGCAGTTAGAAAAGTATTAAATCGAAATGTACGATAATTGTGTTGATGATAAAGTTAGTCATGTTGATGATAAGGGCAATAATGAGTACGGTAATGTTGAAGATAATGATAATCATATTGATGGCGATGATAGCAAAGATGATAAGGTTAATGACTGACTATATTGATTGTAAACATAACCAGTAAGCTATTTTGCTGTTGTGTGTCCATCTCATCTACAATTAAGAAAATGTTTCATGGCAGTATTTGGCTAAATGCATAAACCAGTACACATTTCAAGACTTCACATTCACATTTCTATAAAAAAAATCAGCCCGACTTGCAAGAAGCGAGAGCAACAGGACTTTATTGGTTACAAATGTATAAGCAATTATGAAATATCAAGCTCAAACCTTTACACATACACAAATGCTGGACAATATTGTGTATATTGATTATATTTCACTTCACCTTTTTGAAATAAGAGAAGACTTTTCTTAACTTTGGCCCCCATTCACCTCGTTCCACCAACCACAAATCAGCCAAAGGTCGATGACTAATCCCCTTCGAACACGTGATCTAGTACACACGTTCAGCATCAAGAGAAATGCTTCATTTGTTCATCAACAGGACAGCCAAAATTAAATTTACAAATATTCTGTACATGTGCTATGAAGCAAAGGTATACAACATAAATGAGGGTCAAAATGGCAATTTATATTATGACTTCCTTTCTTCACTGTGAACATAACACACTTTTTACATTTTACAATGTGGTGTAATTAAAACAATGGACTTCAACAGAGAGAGAAAAACCTCACCACCGAAAAAGGTAACATTGTCTTTATCCGAAAAACCCCTTTGATATCTTATGCAATGGACTATTATTATATGAGTGATAATAGCCAGAACATTTTTAGTGACGTTTGAAAAATATTTTTTGGTATATAGTGTCTGGCAAAAAATGGGCAATTGAAATACAGTCATTGATATTTGAGGATTGTATAAGCTAGATGGGTGGCTTGTATTGTGAATGTGGTGATTGGAATTAAACTAAAAAAATGTCAGCATAACCTTGCACATTCATGCGAAGAATGCAACATTTTCTACCCATATTTTTATAATTGAGGATATAAATGGGCATTATTAAACACTGTTGCTGATTGTTTTACGTAAACGTAATTTTTTTGTTCAACATTGCAAGGTAGTCAGCATCTTGCTTGGAAACAAGCTCCCAGCTCTCCTTAATAGCGTATTTCCACCAAACAATATATTGACTTCACCTAGACATGTAGTTCGGACCATGACCATCGCTGGCAGTGACTGATTTAGACTGTCTTTAAGGTAGGCTAATTGGACACAATAAATACATTCATCACAAAAGTGTCAGCTGGCATTACTGGTGTCTCATATAAAGGTGTGCATCAACAGTTATGCAAGATGTAGAGGTGGTTCTTTGGAGATGGTTGCAGCGAGATTTGATGAGTCTTATGCTAATACAATTGAAGCCCTGTCTCTTGTCCTTCCATTGGCAGGCGGTAGTAATGTTTAGGTCCAGTGAAAGGAAATGGTATTGGCTCCTGTCTTATTATTTGTGTAGCGTTTTTGAAAGCAACAATATTGAAACAACGCAATGTATAATGCACTCTCCTCCTACGTCAGTCAAAGTGTTCTGAGTGTCCTTTGCGTGTGCTGTGAAGCATGGTCATTGTATCAAACATTGACATGAAATATATTTACTTATTTTTTTTTACGTAGTGTTAATATCACTGGTGGTGAGGATTTTTAGTCAGTGTTACCAACGAAGTTAACTATTCTTGATTTTTAACAAAAATGTCTAAGTTAATCCATATTTGCAATTAAATATGTTTGTTTTTCTAAATATAAATGTTTGATGCTGACAATTCAGAAAACAAATGTGATAGCATCCTTAAGCTAGCACTGTAGCTTAATAGGTAATTTCCCAGCTATTGAGTGAAAGTCTTATCTTGGTAAAAAAACTAAGTTCTGGTGGTATGCCACATCTATGGTGGACAAATGATCACATGTGGCCGATCGTAATCTGTGAAAAAGCTCAGTTTTCATATTTTTTTTATAACACTGTTCCTTTACGTTAATAATTATGACATTACTGAATTTCCCCCAAAATAAATAATCATATTAAGAAAATTCATTACTTGCAAAAACCTCCCCACAGTTAAGTTTCAGCTTTTGGATGCCATCGCTCTCATAGCAAAACTACATTGGGCAATGCAGAAGGGTTAAGGAAAAGTCAAACAAGCAGTCAACTGCATATTATCCTGGTGTGATGGACGCAGCCTTTAATCCATTACATTTGTGGATGTCTGCATGGAAATGAGACACCCACCTTTGACGAATTGAGGAAATTAAGTTCTTGTGGAGTGCAGGAAAGCAAGTATGTTTGAGCGTGAGTTTCCTTCCACATGCAACAAGAAAGCTCAAAAAAGAAAGTGACCAAACATACCACAAGCAGGACCTTCATGGAAATGAGTACTGGAACTCAGGATACATTTTGACCTCCAGTGGTTTGGAAAGAGGATTAATGGACTAAGATTTATCATTGTAAATTACTCGTTTTTTCGGTGGGTTAGTTGGGTTCACCCCCACATCCTTCTTCGGATGGTGGGAGATGTAGGCCATGCCCAGCATTACCAACGCAGCTGATGGTGCCAATGTCACCAAGCCCTGCCCATAACCTCAGTGGCAAAGCATGGGAAACCGAGATTAAAATGTGTTCATCCGATTAGTTGGGTGATTTATCCCATCACCAGTTAAAGATTTCTGAATTAATCAGATAGCCCACATCTATAACATTCAAACACGTTTTTAATTGGAGTTTGCAACCTTATGTAGACTATACAATGGAATGAGTTGGTTAATGTCCCATATTCTTTTGGTCTTTTGGTAAAGCCACGTAGACAGATCAAATAATACAAAATAAAAATAATAACGTCCCATGTTTAAAACAATGCACATGGTATGTACAAAAAATATCTATCAATTTCCATTATGCCAAAAAACATGCATAAATACAATACAATTTAGATTCATGACGCATTTAATTATGACTGCGTCTCAAGATGCTATGGAAAAACAATGGGCTTATTGATTTTATAAAGAGGCAGTCATAGGCAGAGGAGAAAAAGAAGGTCTTGAGCCTGTACTTGAACAGGGACAGGGAGTCAACAGCATGGATGGCAGGGGAAAGGGAGTTTCACACTTTTCGTGAGGAGTAAATTCGTTTGGCAACATTTAGCTGGATGAAATTAGAACCAGTCTAAAGGCTGGATGTGAGAGTGGACAGGGATGTCAGGTTTATGGAGCTAATGGTGATGTAGAGCTGGGTGTCATCAGCATTGCAATGATGGTACATATTAAATCTATGGATGAATTTGCAAAGTGGAGGTGTGATATATTGAGAACAGGGGGTTGAGAATGGAGCCTTGTGGGATACCATAACACGGTGGTTTCTGATAGGAAGACACACCTCATATGGAAACATTAGGAGGGGTTTGTGAGATGAGAGCAGATCCAGCAGATAAGTGTTCCAGAAATTCTTATGTAGTATTGAAATAGTTAAGGATTATGAAGTGGTCTATGGTGTCAAAAGTCAATATATTACGAGGAGGGCTCATGATGATAGTGATGCAATGTGTGATGAGAGAAGGGCATTTAGCACTCATAAGACAATAATTTGAGCAGAATGGCCTTGGTGGAAGACAAACAACGAAGTGGTTAGTCTATAGCATAGACTCTATACCTATCTGGCAAGTAATCATTTGGATCAGAGACACCATGATGGAAGAGATATTTGGAGAAATGGGAAAATATCTTCTTTTTAATAATTTTTTGACAAAATGGAGGTTGGATATAGGACACAAACTTGCATGGATGTAGGGGCACAGTGTTGCGTTTTAAAAAAAAATCCAGAATGCAAGTGACAGAAACGGTATTAAGAGCTAAGTACTATATAAAATTATACATTGTAACATATTAGATGTAGGGTGGGCAGGCCGTAAGCGATGAGGGAAATGTGTTTAATATGGAGATAATTGTAGTAATGTTGTTTAACGTAACATAATTAAGGGTACGTACTGACGTAAAAGGACAGGCAATAGGGGCAGCAGTCTGACACGAGAATATAATTCCCAATTTATTTGGAATTATGTGGAGACATGACTAAAACATAACCTAATGATATTCATGCAGGTGCATGTCCTACTGTTAACGTGTTCAAAATAGATTGTCATCAATTCGGTCTATGCCTTGTACATGTTTATGCACATTTTATACTCAGGGAACATGCATCCACTAGATATTCAATTTAGAGTCAGAATATATACAGTAGAATGTCGATTATCTGCGTGTGGTGTATGCGATTTGCAGATTAACCACGCACCTGAGATTTTGACATAAAATAATAACTGATGGATTGTCCCTTGAGCCCAAATTAATAAGCTGAAAACAGTTAAACATTTTTATTTTTTGAAATGTTTATTACAAGTTACGCGCTTAAACCGAACAAATATGTGCTCCGGTTAATCCGAAATCTACGTGACCGCATCTACAGTACAGTAGTTGTATATCTTTACAACAGTGGGTGGAGTTTGAATGATGTTGATTGGCGTGGCTCTGCTGTCCACTTAGTGGGCACAACGCATCAATCGGTCGATTCTTCACATCAAATTTGAGTTTGCTCTTTAACAAACTACATTTTCTTAACTTATACATAATTTATACCTATATTAGTTGTGTTTGGTCCTTGAGATTGACGGAAATATATATTTTGGGAATATCCGCGAATTTTCATTATCCACCGCCGTCCTCCCAGTCATTAGCTCAGATAATCGAGTCTACCGTATATAGACTTGTATCCAGTACATCTTCAGTATTCTGCTGACGTTTATGCGAATGGAAAAATCACATTTGGTTTTGAAATACATTAGAACAGCAGTCTCACGTCCCATCTGGGAGTTGCAACCCACAAGTGACATAACAAGCGTTTGACATTATTCCACGATCTGTTTTACACGACGACCAAACAGCACTCAACTTCATCTGTGTAGAAAACTGAGTTATTTAGTCTCTATCTTATCTGGCTGCTTCGTGCGAAAACATTTGACATTTTTTTCCAATTCCACCGGTTGTTATCGAGGTAAGACAATCAGAATTTGTTAAAAAGAGTGAAAGCCAGAGATTAGAACTTAGGATTTTAACAATGCTCACTCAGTATTCCGACATAGGCATTGAAACACAACTCACCCAGATTTATATGTAGATACAGATTAGATTTAAAGATTGTGATTAGTCGCATAAACACCTTAAGGGTATTTCCCTGTTCTTTAACCTCATGATTATTCAAGTGTAAAGGTGTTGCACGAAACTAAAGAGAAAGCTAAAATGTTTACTTGGCCCCTTGCAGGTGAAACACAATTTATTTTTAGGACCCATTTTTACCCCTTTTCCGCTGGCAAATTTGAGTTCAGCCAGTTGGGTGGTTTCCCCACTGGCTATTTGCAGAGCCAATCCGAAACCAAACAACGCATCTGAATCTGGCTCAGGGCCATTCGGGGCCAAAGGAGTGTGACACCGCTCAGAAAACTGTGAGGAAGATGAATCGCCCATTTTAAACTCAAAGGCGGCCACGTTGTTTACATGCGCCTAAACGTGTGCAATGCATGCGACTATGGCAGCACGGCTCGGATTCTGCAGTGGAAAAACAAAACGGTGCCTCTTGAGCCGCACAGCGCTGGTTCGGCAGGGCATCAGCCCAGCTCGGTTGTACAGTGGAAAGGATGTATTTGACATTATTTAAGTAAAAAGAAAGTGTTAAATTTACATAAATTTGGCTTTGAACCGAACCAAGACAAGGCGCATATAAAGGGAGAATATGCAGGATAATAATGTGGAATAGTAATTTAGAAAATATGAATTCTGGCATGCAAATATGTGTCAAGTTGTGAAAATAATGTAAACAAATGTATGACATTTTTGCGTGATGAGTTCAGAACTTGATATTTTTCAACTTTGGGTAAAAATTTGAATTTGAATTGTACGATCCAAACAACTGTGCAAGAATGTGACCCAATTAAGATAAATTAACACATTTTCTGTTGATAGGACTATGTTGATTCAGCTAATCAGCAGGAGCCATTATTTATTAATTTATTTCAAGAGCAAAGAGCATTTGTGTCAAAACATAAGCTTTACTATTGATTTATTTTATAGTATGCACGACTAATATAAAGATTCGTTTTCCTCTGGAATATGCTGCAGCCGAGGTGACAGAACCGGGGGGACATCTCTAGGCATGGGGGAACAATTGCATATTTATTTGAAGGGTCAATTGCCACTTTTAAATATTGGTGTGTGTGGTGAGTATTTACAAAATAAAAGCAAACCCCCTAAAATCATACCCTAGCTGGGAATCGAACCCATGTTTTTTGCGTCTCGAGTAAGAACCCGTATTATCTCACTCCATGTCTTGTCCTGGCGATGCTGCTTTGAGTATAAAATGACCTAATATATTCTTCTCAGTAACTAACCTTTTTGCTCGAAAAACAACATAAATGAAGCTAAGCATACGTTTTGTTGCTTGTATAGTAATGCAGTACAGTATTTTGTCATACATTGTTAAACAATCGATCAAATATGATCGCGCTCAGCTGGATTTTGCCGCAAACAGAAGATATCCAATGAAAACATGAATCCGACTGTCTGTATGTTGAACTTCTTTTGCACCATACGTAGACAGCCGTGCTAATCGGAGGTGCGGGACTGGGCCTCATGTGATTAGGTCCCATCAGACCAAACAGTGTACCCCTCGTTTAATATGGTACTAATTACAAAAATAGTATGATTATCACTTTAAACGTTATGATTATAATTGTAATATTGTATAAGTTGTGACTTCTAAAACCACCCCAATGTAGTAAATAATAGGTTTATTAATTTAAAACTCTTATTTGTAATATTAGTGGTTATACATTTTAGGACTGGAATAACTTTTTTGATATTAGGTGATATCTTCACTATCTTAATTAGTAAGAGTATTATCAGCCTTGTTATGAATCAGTTTTAGGTCATATCTTCACTGCTATATTCATAAAACAAATATTGCCAACATTGTTATTAAATCTAGGTAGTATTTACAATGTTGAATTAATTCATATTGCATTGTCAGCATTGTTATAAATGATGTTGTCAAATGTTCGCTGTTAAATTAATTTAGTATTATCAAGCTTGAAATTAATTAGTTTTAGGTCATTTTCATCGTTATATTAATTTATATAGCATTGTGAGCCTTGTTTGTGTTGTAAATTAGATACATTGTTTGTGTTTCTGTGGTGACCACCAGAGGAAGAGTGCAATAAACCCATCTGCAAACCATGTGTAATGAGGACACATTTGATATTGAGCGATTAAATATATGCATTCGTATGGAAGCTATTTTTGTTAAATGTCCATTTATGCAACATGGCATTGGGGTGTGAAGCTGCTGCATAAATATATTTATTAAATGGGATTTTAAACATTTAATGTATCAGATTTCGAGCGAATGTGTTCACAACACATCTATGTTACATTTTAGTGAAAAATGTGTGTTTAAAGGGAATTATACATCACATTGCAAGTTGGGTGAATTTAATAGAAAATCACTTTAGAAACAAGACCGCTTTTCTCACATTTTACTAGCATGTTAAAATGAAAGTGTCTCCATTGCGACACTGAAGAAAGGGTCTCAATTCCACATTTCTATGGCAGGAGCCAGCCCTCTCCATAGTATGATCACTATTGTGTATATTAAAGCGATAAAAACACATATCTATCGGAGGGGTGCAATGGAATCATTGCTCTCTTCTTATGAGTAAAGGGTAAAGAGGGAAGTTGCTGCGTTGCTTAAGCCACCTAATCCCTTATAAATATCCTACTACCACTAGTTACTCTTTTCAGGCAAACGCTATTTATTTCTATAAATACAGGGAAACATTTAAATGGAATATCTGAGAATAATTTCGTCCTGGTGTATGATTATGTTGCAATGTTTTTTTTTATGTTACGTAAAATTTCTTCCCATTATTTACAGAGGTTGTGTCTGAAGCAATTGCGAATTCTGTACAATCGGCTGGAAAAGTTAATATTCTTGTCACAAAATTGCAATACATATGTGAAGAATATGAAAACCTGTTTTAAATTTCAGTTATTTTGTAAAGGTTTTGTAATGAGCCAAATTAACACAAATACTACAGAATCAGATGGACCACATATCCTGTAATGATTTCTCCCAAATTGGTCAGATTTTCACATCTTAAATAAGAAGTAATGGTTGATTATTTTTAAATGTATTCATATATGCACGATGAAGGCAATGGCATGCACACCTATAGCGAATATTATTTGAATTTTACTGCAGAAGTAGAGCAATAAGCCACGTTGTCCAATCCTGACCATTGTGCTCAAAATCGTAATAAACGGAATGAACATTATGCAATGATCAGGAAGTGACATCACAGGTCTTTGGCCACTGCCCTTCATGGATCTATCTGATCCAATCAATATATTTTGTGCTCCATAATTCAGCTACTTATTGAGCCCTCAGCTCTAAGCTTTACCGCAATCACTGTACAAGCAAAGCATATTTTACAGTTGGGTATTTGTGTGCAGTCATTGGTGTCTGGGATGAGACTTAATCTCCCTACACAGTGGGTGCAGTCTCAGAATTTGAATGGTGGATCTCAGCGAGGCTGGGCTCAGAACCCTGACACAGACGTAGCATTCGTGCGTCTCGACTCTACTTGAATCCCACTGCCATTTATTCTTAAAAAAAAGTATTTTAGAAGCAGTACAAGCTTGAGCAAGGTATGAAAATATAATAAAAAAAGAACTGAAATCTAAAGATTAAAATAAAATACAAAATTTCCAGGATACACTTGCCATGTATTTGTTATGGTGCCCAGCACTGAATGAATCTGTCACGGCAACAGACCATATCGACTAAATGGGGGAAAGATGTGGTTCACAATAGAACTTAATTCGAAACAATGTATAAATAGTATAACCATTTCTAATACGTAATTTTAGATAGTTTTGTACAGTTATGTAAAGTTGTATATTCCCTGATCAGATTATGATTAGTTACTACCAATTTATTACAATGCTAAATACACATTCGTTCAACATTCTTATTGTTAAATTATTAACAATATACCCTGTATTCGTATAAAATGTGTACAATTTTCTTGTCTTTTTGGAAGGCATTTCCCTTAGAAAATATGTTTCGGAAAGAGCTTTGCTTGCAAATTAATGTCATGATATATATTTTAAATAATTTCTTAATCTGGGCCCATAACTATATAGTGGTCACATCTTTGCCGTCCACTGGAAAACGTTATACGTTGACAAGTGAATGTTGGAATATACCATGTTTGTTATTGGAGTGCAGTCAATATACTTTACTTAATCAACTTCTGCAGTCGACATACTGTGAGAAGTACAAGCAGAAATACACAAGAGATGATTGAAATAAAAATGTTAATACAATTTAATCACAATACCTATAAACGATTATGATTTAACTGTCATTGATCTAATTTACCAGCTGTGATACTGTATTTAAAAATGTGCACATATACATTGCTATACTACAGTAGTTACACGTTGTATTTCCATAATCATAAAAAATAAACATTCATGGATTGTCACAACATTGTGAAATCCATCCATTTAATTCTGTGCCCTCCCCCACATCTGCCAAAGCATCAGGGGCTCGTTATACATTCCGGCTCGCCCAACGTCGTTTGCGGAGATAACATTTCAAAGTGTAGAATCTCCGTTCAAGTTGGAATAGTAGAGGCCAGTCGTCCCATTTTCACAAAGCTGTGGGGGGAGAAGACAACAGAGGAGAGAGTCAACATATCATTCCACAGTCACCGCTGTTGCACATACGACCCACGGGCGTTGCTGGGAAACCAGTGTGTCATGTAGGGAGTAACCATAGCGATAGCCACACTGTTGTAAATGAAGGCACGCCTAACACACACGTAAAAAAAGACCAGACAGATTCGTGTCTGTAGGAGATCGGGCTCTTGAAGATGGAAGATAAATGAAGGGACAGCCAAATACAAACATCGAATTTGACAACTGAGCGCTGAGGATGGGTGGTAATTCAGCCCACAAAATAGTCACGGTGTTGGTAGGACACGACCTGAACAACAATGCTTGTTTACCTTTAATATATAAACGAAAAATGCGCCCCCCCCCCCCCGCCATTCATTAAGCTACATAATTGCAAAAAGATGGTTTGTCAATATTTACCCTTTCAGCGAATTATGTGTCAACATTAATCGAGGTAGTCGTGTTACTAACCCTGCAATGTAATTACGAAAGCTGATGTTGTCATACTTAAGATAGCAGTAATAATTTACAGCTATTTGTCAGTCCACTGCTAAATGAAGATCTGCCCACACCTCTCATACCATGTCGGGTCACGAGGGTCAATGGTCAAAATACTTCTCCGTGCTGGTCGGTGCAGATTGCTAAAGGGGGGCTTGGAGGGTGGCTGAACCGAGATTTCTGGGTTCAAAGTGGAGTGCACCAACCACTGAACCTGCCCGTCCTATGTGCACAACTCTATCCAAATAACGATGTGAGATGACACAGAGTGATCAGTTGAAGTAAATCAGGCGATGCTAATCACGATTTTATGGTTATGGTGTAATAATACACGAGGTGCTGCAATAACAACCTGTTTATGATTTTTGTACTCGAACTTAAATTGTTTACATTTTAGTTAATTTTACACACTGGACCAACATTGCCATATTGGTACTATTCAGGCCCATTTCATGCAAGCGTGAGGTTTTTAGCGGTAGTAGAATCTATTAAGTTTAGATATAACAGATGTTAGGAAAAGATTACCATGTCGAATTACACACACTAACATAAAACTACCCACTACAGCTGTGCGTAATATCGACTTCAGCATTTTTTCTTGCTGTGGTTGTTCCACCCGATGAGGATTGCTTGTGTTGCGATCGAAACGTCGTGATTTGTTTTAATTTATTTTATTTCTACCTACGTGACTTTACCGAAATAACCAAAGAGTATGGATTCCTGCAGTCACGAAAGCTTTAAATCAAGGTATCACCACATTTTTTTCTTAAGATCACACCCATATTATTTGTTACCTATTTCAATTAGATCAGATTTTTTTTATGTCAATCCTTCGAGTGCTGACCCTATCCTACAATGAAATTCCTAGCATTCTTCACACGCACCTGTATCAGCAGGCAATAAACAATCTTCCGTTTCAAATGGCTTGCGAATCAGACTCTGATCTGTATTAGTAACACAGTTGTTACTCCCTGCCTGCCTTTGACAAGTAATATCCTCATGGTAATGTTGAGCTCTCCACTCCTCAACAGTGGTTCATGTAGTCCAGCAACAATGCACCGTCTCTTGTGCTTAATCTTGACATGTTCAAATTTAATATTATTTTGTAAAAAAAAAAATGTGCCCATGAACCAGCACTGTGATTGGTTGGATGATGCCACGTGGGGTTTGACAAGGGTCATCATGGCAATTCTCCACAACAAAACAAATGTGTCAAATTTGTATGCGTACAGGCTTGCGGATGTCAAATAAAAAAATACATACGAATTGATTAAAATTGTAAAGGTAAATAACACATTCATTCTTGGGATATTTTTCAAATTTTATTTTACTTTTTCTACGCTGCTTTAATCTATTTTTTCATAGCCTGAGTAGGCCACGCATATCATGTTAGATGCCCTGTCTCAATTGGGTGACCACCTAAGCAGGTAAGAGAGGAAAATAGGGTTCTGGACCTCTCCTGTGTCATTAAAGATATGGGCGATACTGTAATTGACTGCAATAGCTCAATAACATGCAATGATGTGGCAATACATGCGCAGCAAAATTATAGTTCATTATTTAACCGAGACTGTTGTGCAATCTTTGTCACAGGTATGTGCAATAAATTACAATGTGTAACTTCAGTTGTAGATTTTTGTTGTTGTTCAATAACGCCCTACTAAAAAAAAATTGCTTCAGTAATATGACTTGAAGCCCACGGGGTTGTGCAGAATTGTCGAGGTTCTACGCAGCTGAGGTATGTAATGTTCCACGTGGTGCAGGTCAGATGGGCATTGACCCGAAACATGGATTAAAACCTGACAGTCGCCTAGCCACCAATGGTTATTCATTCACTGATTCATTAATCTGTTCATTACTCATATTCCAAAAAAAGTATTTTGGCAGAATGGTGGCAGTAGCATACCAAGTGTCACTCGGCTTATCTCGATGTGATCTCTCTAAACAAGAAGGGCTTGAGGGTTTAATTTAATGATCACTAATTAAATTCCTAAATCATTTCTTATCAAAAGCCAAGTTGTTGGCCATTTAGCTATTAGTAGTAGACCTTCATAACCAGTTCACAGCACATTGAGAGCAGACAGAAGGAACGGCGTGGTTTCTTTAAATTAACAGCAAAAACTATTAAATTCAACATATATTAACAAAACACGGTAACATTTTTACTCGGAAAAAATATCCAACACAATGAATACATTTGAAATCACAACATTAGCGAATATTTTATTAATTTCTAAACATTTGTCGTTATGCTTAACCAACAATGACTCGTCACACATTGCAGCCTGAATGAGCGGGAGTATTGTATATATATTAGTTACACCATAGACACATTTTTTCAAGTTTAAATTCGACCACTCAAGATGTTACAATTTTGACCAGAGTACTTGTAACTGTATAAATGTCACCAAGCAAACGTGTGCAATTTTAAGTTTACAACATTGATTTCCCAAGAGTGCCACAATCTCCGTGTACAGAAAATTGCACCCACACTGGTGACTACATAGATACAAAATAAAATAAAAAAAGAAGCTAGATTTCTCAATGGACTGTGTGCCTGTTTAAACACACCCTGCCAGTGATATTACACACTACTCCAACGATGTCTTTGGAGTAAATTAAACTTACATAAGCTTTAACTTGGTGAGTTGTTTCCCATTTGATATATTTCAATGTCAAAACAATGCTAAGGGAAAAAAACATGTTTGCTTGCTATACATGCCAGTACAAAACATGCAGCACATCGATGGTTCTAAAGTTGGCCTCGTGAAGTGTCAATGGGTTCCACCCCACTGCCCATGACTAAATCACCCAGAATGCACCTGATGACATCAGGTCTCAAAAGCTAAGCAGGTTTGAGCCTGAGAAGTGCTAGGGTTGGCAATCACAATTTGCTACAGATTGTTAGTATCGGCTGCTGGGCTGCATAGTGTGCAGGAGAGCAGCATTGCAAAAAAGCCATTGTTGTACAATACTTATGTATGCTCCCACGTCTATACTCCTCCACGTTCACCAACCAGAGGTAAAGTATTGGCGTGGGGAGGCCTTCATCTGGAATTTGGTATCCCACCCTAACAAAACACAAGTTGTTTGTAATGGAGATGATTATGGGGTGGAGTGTTTGTGTTAATGTCTCATCCAACATGAGAATAGTGATTATGATTATAAGCATTCATGGTTGTGTATGTACACCTTTACACTGCATTTACATACACAAATTATGAGATATTAACATCTTTTATCATGTTTGCACATTTCCACTATTTGTAATGTGCTGTACTGTATTTGTAATCATGAATAGTTTGCTTTCAATAAACAAAGATATGATCATTGTTATTCTTTTTCAACGTTAGACTTTATGTGTAATGTGTAGGGTGTACACTATATGAATATAGTCTGGTGTGGAGAAAGAGTGGTCTGAATCAAGTATTTCGAGTTTACTATTTTTAACTTATCTCACACAATATACAACAAGTAGTGCAAGCTGACTCTTGTGAGATGTAACTGAATCGATATACGCAAGGGAGAATCAACACTTTAACAGCTATCACAGTACTACATCTACATCGAATTGGAACTTCTTAAACTTTGGAATGAAAATTAAATCTTACAAATAACTGGCCCTCTTGGATGTAATGTTTAGAACTGACAATACTGTGTTTTAAAGATACGTGAATTAAATAAAGTTTCCTGTGAAATGTGAGTAGACACTCCATCTTTTTCATTCGTGTTATTTGCGTTGTTTGGTGTTGTATATATTCTTAAACAGGTCAGTGCAAATTGGATTAGCTCTTAAGTATTATTTATTTACTCCCCATTCAGCGCTACCACGCAGAGAGATATTTGCACTTAATTAGACACACGCGCCTCCCACACGTACAGAGTTGGATTGTGGGTTAACTCCAACACATGCCTCTTTGGATGAATGCCCCAGAGGTTTTCACAACACACAGGAGTGTTCCATATTCTGGGTGGGTCGAGCGACCTCAGTAATTACGGCCCACTCTGACCAGTGACATGGAAACAGAACGCCTCCTTTAATAAGGCGATGAATTCCAATTGATCTCACTGCAACTTTTGTAGTGACAACCGATGGTAGCAATGTGATGTTAAAAAAAAATGTCAATGCATTCAAATGTAAAATGCCAATTTTGAGGTGCTGGAGCTCTTCAAGGATTAGGCAATAAAGCACTCGGATTAGACGGACGGTCCTCGACTCACGAAAGCAATTCGTTCCTGAGACCCGTTCGTAAGTCGAGCGGTTCGTAAGTCGGAATATAGTAATCTACTGTATTTAAATGCCCCCCCCCCCCACACACACAATCACTCACTCCCAGCACGAGGCTCGCTCAGCTGAACAAAATAGTGCCGCGGTTCAATTCGCAAGTCAATGTAAAAAAAAACTAATATTTCATGGAAGCTGGTTCGTAAGGTCGAGTGTTCGTAAGTAGAGGACTGACTATAATGTCACATTATGAACAATA